AAAGACTAAAGAAAAAAAATATATAAATAAAAAATTTTATAATTGTATATATTTTTTTTCTTACATTCTTGCAAAAAAAAAATTATATTTTGAGTATATTAACTTTAATCGATAATTTTTTTATTTAAAGACTAAAGAAAAATACATACATACTTCATCAGCAGTGAATTGTTATTTTATTTAAAAGCGTTTTAATAATATAATTTAATAATAGACTATCCTGGTCATATTTAAAATATTTGGAAAATTTTTTCATTATAATATGTGAATATTTTTTTATTATTATATATGGAAAAAATGCGGGAAAATATTTTTAAGACTTAAATACACAAAAAGGGTTTTTATTCCCGGAAAAATACGGGAATAAAAACCCTTTTTGTGTATTTAAGAATATCTCATGTGCTTGAAAGGAAAATTTTTGGCAGGTATTCTGTATAAAAAGCAATTGCTTTTACTCAGCGTTTTTTGAGTAATTGCTCAGCTTTACACAAATTTTTTGAGTAATTGCTCAGCTTTACACAAATTTTTTGAGTAATTGCTCAGCTTTACACAAATTTTTTGAGTAATTGCTCAGCTTTACACAAATTTTTTGAGTAATTGCTCAGCTTTACACAAATTTTTAGCAATTTTGCTCACATATTTTTATTCATGTAATGCTGAGCAATTACACCAATTTGTCTTGGCACTTTATTAATAAATATACGCGTACAAAAAAGAAAAAATTATTTGTAAACAATAACTTTACTGCTTTAATATATCAAATCCATTGCAAAATTAGCATCTGCTAAGGTTGCATCTCTTTATCGAGCTCGACACTTTCTTACTCCAGATTCTATTCTCTATCTCTATAAATCTCAAATCCGTCCCTGTATGGAATACTGTTGCCACATCTGGGGCGGATCTTCTAATGATGCTCTTTCTCTTTTAGACAAGGTGCAAAAACGAATTGTAAACATAGTTGGACCTGCTCTGGCAGCCAATCTCCAACCTTTGTCACATCGTCGTAATGTTGCTTCTCTTTCTCTTTTCTACAAATACTATAATGGGCACTGCTCTAAAGAGCTAGCGTCCCTTGTGCCATCTACTAAAATTCATTCTCGTGTTACTCGCCATTCAATTAAGTCTCATCCTTTTTCTGTGACTGTTCCTAAGTGCTTCAAAAACTCTTATTCTTCTAGTTTTTTTCCTCGAACATCAGTTCTTTGGAATTCGCTTCCTTCATCTTGCTTTCCTGATTCATATAATTTGCAATCTTTTAAGTCATCAGTCAATCGTTATCTTGCTCTACAGATTTAGTCTTTTCTCTTCCAGTAACTTCCAACTCTTATAGTGGTTGCTTGCAGCCTTGTTGGAAGTGAAGATGTTAAAAAAAAAAAAAAAAAAAAAAAAAAATTATTTGATGACAAAAAAAAAATATTTTTAACTTGTATTTCCAGAAAACTATTTGGATGTCTGGAAAAAAAAAAAAAGTGCAAAAATATCCGGAATTGCGGAAATATCCGGAAAAAGATAATCCCTTATAAAACCATTAGTAAAGATCAAAGTTATTTATTTCAAACAGGTGTTTTTAATTCAAAAGTTTGTCTTTTTTTCTTCTCAACAAAATCTTTTTGAGTGTATTAACTTTAATGATTTTTAAATAAAGCTTATTAAAGAGACAATCGTTGTTTAAAGTCATCACTTATAAAATTTAAATAATTAAAAAAATAATAATTATAAAGTTATAAAATAAATAAGTATAAAATTATAAAATCTTATAAATTATTTCATTTATTAATTACATAATCTTATATATATAAAAATAGTATAAATTTTTTTTATGCGCATTTTTAAAATGTTAAAAACCTTGGTCAAAATAAAGTGTTATTTGTGTGGTTATATTATATTATAATATTATATTATGTGTTATATTATATTATAATATTATATTGTTTATATTATAAGACTTGGTCTCGATACATCTCTAGACTCATATTTAACTGCCTTGGTATTAGTCTTGGTCTTGAAGCAAGAAATCTTGAAGTCTCAAAGACCTGACTTTGAGTCTTGGTCTCAAAGACCTGAAGTACTGGTCTTGGTCTCTTTACCACCCTAAACTTTCTTGATCCTTACAATGTACTATGAATAGATTACTATTATACTATGGATAGACTAGTATTAGATAATAAATGGATCACCACAACTTTCTGCTCTCATGAAAATTTCTACCTAGAATGATGTGTACTAAATGTCTTTACACATTTCAAGCCTTTCCGGGAGGGCATGTACAGTAACATGCCTTGTTCGTCGACGCTTTAGGTAACTTTTTTAGACAAACTGACCACAGCAGCTTGCTGTTTTAGCTATTTTAACTTATAAAGTGTTTCAATATTTAAGGGCAAAAATTTATTAACTAAGAAAAAAAAACAATCCTGAAAAAAAGGAACAAAATTGTAACAAAATATCAATTTTAAATAAAGAAACAAGAAAACTTAATAAAAAAAATTTAAATTAAGAAAGT